TATATATATATATATATATATTGTTACTGGGGATTGAACTCACAAAGGTAATGTTAATGTATGTTTTGTCATAATGGATTGCCTATTTTGGACATTTTGTATAAAGAGTCTTACAATATTTTTTAATGACGAGCCACTTCCATTTTAGCATAATCTTTTCGAGATTCATCTATGTTGTTGCATGTACTAGTGCTTCCCTTCTTTTATTGCTGAATATTTCACTGCATGAATAAACTGTATTTGGCTTCTGTGCCCACCATCTGATGGGCATTTGTGCTGTCTTTGCATAAGTGGCTGAAGGTCAAGCTGCTAGGGAAGCTGCCTGCCCTGTGTGAAGAGGGACCTCACCCCCTAGGGAGTGTGCTGGGCAGGAGCATAAAGGAGAGTGCTTGAAGGACTCACTGCTCACCCGTGGTGCGGTGCGTTTCCAGAGGCCTTGTCACTGAGGAGTTTCCAGAGGCCTTGTCACTGAAGACGGGGTAGCCTACAATCTGGAGGAGTGACAGAAGCCTTGCCCATCTACAGACCCACCCCTGTGGGAGCTTTATAACGTAAAATCATTTGAAAGGATTTTAGCTGAGCCCTCACTTTCCTTCTGGCTGTGTGGTCAGGCAGTAGTAACCACTGGCTACTTTGCAAGGTATCAAAGATGGGAATTTTCCCCTGTCCTCCTAGCCCTGTCTAGTCTTCATTAGGCACCTCCTACAGACACAGACTAAGTTTGTCTGTTATTAGATCTCAGATAAAGATATTTGAGAATCTAAAGACAGGCTCTTGAAATTAACGAGGAGTTATTTCAGAGGAAATATTACTGCAAGAATAGATTACTAGTGGAAGAATTACAGACATTTTTCAAGGAGGAAATTCATAAGTGCTTTAAAGCAGATCTCTCCAAATCTTTATACCACAATCTACTGGAGTGCTTCAGTGACCTGGAGGTCCACCTCTAAGGACTCTGATGTAGTAACTGCTGGGTAATTATGACTTTGAGGATTTTGGGTAATAGTACATGCTAACAGATCTGTACTTCAGTCCTACCTCCGCATTGAATGGCTAAGCAGTCTGGAATGAGCCATTTAATTATCTAGGCCTCAATATTTCTTACCATCAAAATGGAGTGAGAGGAACAGGGTTATATGGCAGGGGACTGTGTGACACTTAATGAATGTAAGTGATACTCTTATTAGTGCACAACACATGAGAACTGATGCATCCTTTCCACCTGTGCCATTAGACAAGGTGGAGGAAATGAACTAGCCTATAAGCACAGCTCTCAAGATGCTTAAATTGGGTGAATTCGAGAATGTGCAAAAATAATAACTTCCAGTGTGGTGCATATGCCTACAGTCTCAGCACTCGGGTATCTGAGATAGGAGGATCACCAGGAGTTTGAGGCTAGTCTAGGCCACATAGTGGATTCAAGGACAGCATGAACTACATAACTAGACCCTGTCTCAAAAACAAATAAATATAATAACAGTTCAAGTTCCAGGCTTATTGGACATCTCATATATTACGAAGCCCTCCTTATCTTTGATACTCTGTAAATTTATTTAGGCACTGGAAGAAACTCTTCAGTGAGAAAAACTACCAACATGGGGATGATCCAGTCAATGAGGCCTTTCTCCCTCACCAAGGTCTCTTTTTGAATGTAACTTCTGGAGCTCACAAATAGGAATCCACTTTTGAAGTCATCCTGAGGTCACCTACTTCCACAGGTAGACCTTTCACATCTTCCAAGGTTTAGGGAAACCTCGGAATTTATTCTTTATAGTGAAATTTCCAGGTTTACAAATTTCCATTCAGGACGCTTATTATTTTTCAGTTTGACAAAACTGTATGTATTTGTATTGTATAGCATATTGTTTTGAAATGTATCTACACCATGGAATGGCTAAATGAAGCTAATTCGCAAACACATTACCTTGCAGTAATTATTTTATTGTGTTAAGTACACTTAAAATCTACTCACTCAGCAGTCTTGAGTATAACAGATCTCCAGAATTGATTCTTCATCTAATTGAAATTTTGTATTTTTTTTTGACCAGTATCTTCCACCCCTGCCCCCACCCCAGCCTATGGTAATCACCTCTGTCCTATCTACTTCTGTAAGTTTAACATTTTAGATTTCCCATGTAAGTGACATTGTGCAGTGTGTAGCTTTCCATGCCTCACCTATTTAATTTAAAATAACATCTTGCATTTACGTTGTTGGAAATGACGAGATTTCCTTACTTTTAAGGGCCAAATAACATTCCATTTTGTATATATACTGCATTTCCTTTCTCTTTCTCTCCCCCTACCTTGCTGGAAAGTAGTGCCTTTACTAAATTAGAAAACTTTTGGCAAACCAATATAGTTCTCTTTAATACAGTAAATTAATATTACTGTTGGAGTTATACATTACTCTGGTGATAAGTTTTTACTCCAGAAATATCATTTAAGTGCCGAATCAAAATACTGTACTTTTTAGCAGAACAAGTTATTTTATACAAATGAATGTCTTTAGAACTATACAAGTCCCTTGCCACAATGAGTTCCCTCTTGTACACTGTTCTACTTTACAGCAGCAAGGCAATTGTGTGTCATACTGCAGTTTCCTTACTCATTTACATGAGACGTACACTTAGGTTGTTTCCATATCTGGTTATTGTGATTAGCAATATCATTCTTTTTTAGTGACACACACTTCAAAACAAAATAAAGAAATCAGAAAAACATAGCGAATCATTTATACTACTTGAATATGATGAATTGTCATCGTCATTGATCTTAGGTTATAAGTTTAGTAGCGCAGTCTGTTCAAGAAAGTAAAAAAATCCCAGGATTCCTAATATTTGGATGTTCAACTGCATTTGTTAAAAATATGGAATGATTAATGAGTTTGTGTGTCATCTCTGCACAGGGGCCATGACTATCTCGATAGTTCCAGTTTTGGAACATGTGCCGCTGAAATAGGTACCAGCCACATTTTACCCCGTAATTTTTTTTTTTGTCAGAAATGTGGCCACATATTAGTTCAAGAGATGTGCCACTATTTACTGAGGCTGGCTTTTTTGTAGATAGCAGAAAGTATCATTCTACCCTTTAGAGGAGACAATCACCTGCAAAGAGCAAACAAATTCTAGAAAGCAATGAGCAGTGACAGCTGGGGGTGTGTGCCGGAGTGGACTGAGAAGGCATGGAAACCTTGTGAAAACGGGCGTGTGAGCTGACACTGAGAGACATTACCTCTCTTTCTGAGCCACACACAAGGCTAGGCACCAACTCCGTGCTTTTCCAATTCGGCCTTTCTGACATTCACTTTTACTATTCTGTAAATAGGGAAATCGGGGACCAGAGAAGTTAAATAACTTGGAAAGTATCACACAGTTATAAAATGGCAGAGCTACAATTCAAATGCACATCTGTCAGTTTCTGAAGGAGACAGCAGGATTCGTATCTGGATGCCAGTAGGCTACAGAGATGGAGTAGAATAGAAGCATCACCTGGGGCCTTTGAGAAATAGAACAGTCAAAAGAGGTGGTCAAGAGCCTACAATTTGAAATCAGGAAGACTGACTTTGAATTAAATTTCCTAGCTGCATGTTCTTGAAAAATTACTTAAACTCTCTAAACTTTTGCCCCCCCCAATAAAACGGGGATATGTATGTATTTCCACTATGGAGCTCTTTTAAGGATGAGTTAGTGTGTAAAATGATTAGCAAGTTATTGTTATTATTATTATTGCCACAGATTTACAATAATATGACCATCCATTAAACACCAGTGAGTAGAGGGTAGAAGAAACACATGTGTCACCCTTTTTGCTAGAAAGACAGGGCAGAGACGGCACAGAGGTCCTTGTAAAGGCAAAAGAAATTTATGTTTCTGCTTCTGGGGAAAGGAGACCTGCATTGACTGCATTGGTATTCCCAGGGGTCTTGGCTTTGTAGCTGGCTCTGCCCAGAGACTATAAATTGAATAAAGTCTTATTAATCTCAGAATTTCCAATAAGGCTGTTGTCACTGAGTTACGGTTTGAAAGCAACTGTTGTGTAAAGAAGCTGGAATTCACGTTCAGAAAGCTAAATGTCTCAAGAGTTTTCCATAATGAATATTTGGGAAGTTTGACTAAGCCTTCCTTCTTTTCCAGAGAATGCTTCCGAGTGTGATGCTGTTGGTGTTTGAAATGTGCAAATTAAACTTGCACACTTTATGCCTGGTAACCTGCAAAGACATGCTATCACTCTTTAAACACTTCTCTTGGAAAGAAAAATGTCAAGCTGTATATTCATGCACTTTAGAAAGAAATTTTATAGAAAGGTGAGCGGCTGCTGTTCAAGCCAGACTTTTTAGCGGGAGGTGGTAGTGTTGCAGTACCGGGTCAAAAGGCTTTTAACCATTACACCTCTGGTAGCAGAAAATAATCTGAAATATTGACTTTCAACATGGTAGTGATTACGTGTCTTCAGGATTGTTAGATTCTAGCTTGTATGTCTCCTTTATGTTTGTTCTTCTCCTATTCTTCGACCAGATTACCTTCTTTTTACATAATAATAGCAATTATTATTACTAAAATTATTTAATGTTAACCTATTAAGTTTTCACACGAAAATAGAGCTATATAAAGACGACTAAAAATAAAAAGTTATTATTCCTGATGTATTGTTTTTTAGGTCTTAGGTTTAAAACCTCATATGATTCATGGTATAGAGTTGGAAAGTGCTCTCAATACACATACAAGAGACATGTAGCCTCTTTGAAAGAGAATGTCAAGCAGGCTTTGCAGAAATGATATCTAGGTAAGATCCGTGGTGGGTGGTATTCATTCCGAAACGACCTACTACTCTGACCCGTGACTTCTGCTCATGTGTCTTTCACTTCCCTCTTTCTTCCTCAACTCCCTGGTCAAATCCCTTCTACGCATCTTCTAAATTCAGAGCAAGGGTTATTTCATAGCATTTCCTTCATACATTTCTACCAAATACTGGGTAGACTAAATTGTTCCCTAATCTGGATTTCCACTTTCAGTTGCAAGATATTTTTTCACAGCATTCACCACTCATTCATGAATCTGTTCACTCATTAATCCCTAAGTAGTTTGGAAGCACTTGTCACAGGACACATCTGGGCTAAGCAGGGCACACCGTACCTCTGTCCTTCCCAAAGTGGGTCAGGAATTCAACACTGCATGTCATTTGCACAGGCAGGAAGAGCTGGGAAACATAAATATCTGGGTGGTTCAGAAAAGAGTCCTTGGAAAAGTGATATGTAATAAAGATCTGTAAGGTAAGAAGGAACCAGCTAGCAAAGGATGAGGACAGTGAAGAATATTCCAGGCTAAAGAAGGACTGACTATGAATGTTTACAGGTTATAAAAAAAAAACACACAAAAGATGATCTGGAGAAAAATACTGCCAAGAATTTCATGAGCGAATGGAAAAATAGCAAAAGATGAGCTTGGAGAAGCAAACAGTGGCCAGACAGTGAGGACAGGCTAAATGATGTTAAGTATATGGGTCTCACCCACAGAGCGATTGTTGTCACTAGCAGGTTTTACACAGAAGAGTGGCTTGATGAAATTTTGATTAGCAGTGATCTTCTGGCAATAGTAGATAGAGTAGGCTAAAGGGTTATACTCAGATGTAGAAAGAACAGTTAGGAGAATGAGGCCATAATCTGTGTGTATGACAGTTACTCTGCTGGTGACTGTGTCCCACTTAAGAGTAAAACTATCCGTTACAGTGCAGATATCGAATTCCTCCACTATAGAACTGTGTTGGTGTTTGTCTGATTTTTTTTATATCCAGTAGTGTTTGTTTTATGAAGGTGGATGTGCTGGTGTTCAGGGCATATGTTTTTAAACGTATCTCCTGTGGAACTGTTCTCTTTAACCAATATATAGTGACCTTTTTTGCCTCTTCTAATCAGTTTTGGGTTGAAATTTACTTTGTCTGAAAATAGGAGAGCTACTCCTGCTTATTTTGGAAATCCTGTTGCATGGAACGTTGCTTTTCATTCTTTGAGCTTTAGTCTATGAATGTATCTCATTTGACCCAGCTATCCATTTTCTAGGTATCTTCCCAAAAAAGGTAAATCATATTACATGCCTTCCCCTGTATCTTGGAAGTTGTCCTATGTCCCCCAGCAGATGAATGGATGAAGAAAATGCAGAATTTAAGCACAATGGAACACTACGCTGCCACGCAGAAGGATAAACTCGACTCATTTGTAGGAAAATGGATGCAACTTGACACTACAATATTAGGTGAAATAAATCAGACACAGAGCTTAGATATCACATACTTTCTTTTATACAAGAAACCCAAAACATAAGTAAGGAGAAAAATGAAAGATAGATTTTTTTTTTCAAAATGAAAAGGGACCAAGAGATAGACTAAGGAGGAGAGAGGAAGGGGATGAAAGAATTAAGATGTGTTATCTACATGTACCAACTTCTCTCAGGAATCTAATCATTGTGTACTGCAAACAAGTAGCAATAAAAAATAAAAACAAAACTATAAGATTTTTATAAAAAAAGTAAAATGGTGTTTTATTCATCTTTGTTAGTAGTTATAGCACGTGAGAGTAATGACTACCAAACAGTTCAATTTAATTAACATTGATCCCGATCCAAGGAAAACTCTTGAGACTGAAGAATGTATTTCACAACTGCTTCAAATATTAGTATAAGAAAGTTTATTGTGGGACGTTACTTTTACCTTGTTGTAGTCCTTAAATACATGTTTTGATTTTAGGTGGCATCTCAAGTATGATGCAAGAGTCATTTAAATAATAAAATTGAATGAAGTACTAAAGTCATATACTAAGGTTCTTTAATTCTTTCTGCTGCCCATCACCATCCAAAGTTTAATTTCATTCTGTGACAGTGAGTCATCTTGCATTGCTATCTTTTTTCTGGATTTTGAAGGCTTTCGAAAGGATGAATTTACCACAGTTAAATCTCTCAGTACCATATATTCTTATTGCACTGACTTTTCTCTCTGGATTCAAAGTATCTTACAGCTGTTGTGGAATGATGTAAATCAGCTTCACTGAATGTGAGGGAGAAATCTCAAGCAAAGCAGAAAACGCTTATGTGTTCAAGGTCAGATGGAGCAAGGGACACACTTCAGAGTACTATAAAAAGCTAGCATTTCAGTTAAAGAAAGACACCCACATTTTTGAAGGGAAGGATTTCAAAGAATTGTATTTATAACTGACAGCATGTTTTTCTATTCTAAGTCTAAGTGATATATACATAACCTTTTCTGTTGTTTCCTGGATAACTGTTTTCAAAGAACTTGCATTAAAAATTATCAGAAAGGCCCTTTTGCAAAGTGTCAAATGTGAGAAGACATTTTTATATATAGGAGGTGAACAATATGTCTGCTATTTTTTAAAAAGCCAGAATTTTTAAATACAAAGATTTATATTAATATTACTTAAATAAAAACAAAGTTTGGATAAAACAGCTTTTAGATATACTATATAATTTTCTATAAAAATGACATTTAGTTTTTCATACTTAACCTAAGTTTAACTGATTATCAATATTTCTTGTTATAAAATAATATACTAATGAATTACAGAGCATAGTAGATCATTTAAAAAAATACCTGGGATTCTGTATTGAATTTTATCCCAAAGTTGAATGTTTAACTGCATTTTTGTCCAACTGATGAAATCCTGGAAGCAAAACTGTGAGATTTACTAATAGAAAGTAGTCAACTGAGCCCACTGCCCCCTTACTTCATTTGAAAACTGTTTCAACAATCAGATCAACAAGTATCACTTAAAGCATAATTCTGTACAAGGCATTATGCTATCTTTGAAGGTAATACAACACATACGTACCAAATGAAAATGCCAAGGGAGTGGACACACACACACACACACACACACACACACGAGACTGAATCATGAGGCTAAGACTGTCCATTTGTCTCCTGTCTCCTTGTTGAATACCAGTACAGTGCTTA